ATGTTCCCCTCAACTCACACTGGCGCAGAGACGAAGCGTCGCGACGCGTCATGTTTTTCGCCTATAGCATATTCATCTCTATTTTCCCATTATTAAGGTACAAATTTGTGTTATGCAAATATGGAGTCGCGCGTCGCCGCGCGTTATAACAGTTGCAGTTACAGTTGCAGACACCCTGAGACAATAGTTGACAAGTCCCATGTGCCTGTAATTTCACCAGTTTTCAGTAGAATTTGAAATTTGTGTTAACCAAAAATGAGCACCATAGTCGGTATAGAACAGAAAGGTTCTCTACGCGCGCGTGTTGTGTCTATTTCCGGCAACGTCCATCGATGCGATAATTGTACCTACGTTCATATGTCAACAGCCCTCTGGCCCCGAGGAATTTCCACTTGAATTCTATCTCCTCGTGTGCGCTGCTTCCGTCACAGAATATCTACTCTGCTAATATCATCTAAGCTAAAAATTTATTGTATATGTTTATGTTGTCTACATTTTGAATTATCTAATTCAAATAGAAACTAACATACTAGTAGATATTTAATAAAGTGCCTTTGTATATAAATCAGACAGAAATAAAATTAGGTAGAACGGCGATCTTCCACTTTTAATATAGGAATCAAGCATGTCAACAAACTCCGCCCACTACGTGACCTTGAAAGAATGCATAATATTAATTAGTGATGTAACATAAATATTTTGTTGAAATCTATCGGTATCGATATTTGTTATACAAGTAATAAAAAAACAAAAGGCGATAATCATATCGCGTATACACACGCGATATGATTATCGCCTTTTGTTTTTGTGATGGTGCGTGAATGTTGTAGGCTAAGGTTGTCTGGAATATATAGATATTTAGCTATAAGGCTGCTTGTTAACATTATCTTCTTATAACAGTTGTCATTTTTCATTCTAGTAACCGTATATCTCATTAAAATTTTCAAAATAATATAACTTCAAAGTAGTTTGTAATTGGACAAATATCGAATAACTAAATGAAAAATTATCAACTGTAAACTGAACCTTACGTAAGTCTGTAAAAAGTGACATTTTGAATATCAGCTTCAACATTCAGACAAAATAAAAGTCTTTTCTCAAAAAACTGGTTGTTCAACAGTTTATATGAATTAATATACATACTAGCAATTACAGAACGGCGCACTTGCATTATTAATTACCTTTGAGCATACCTAGGGCGAAAAAGGGAGACAATCTTCCTTTCTCGCTTGCACTTGTGCATTGCTAATTATTGAAACTGCCTCATAAATCAATTGCAATTAAGATGACCCGCCGCATGAATTCGCATTGGTAAAACGATACGGAACATGACCTTTATTAATAGGAGTGAAAGAGACAGTTGCTAACTAAACAGTAATTTACAAAGGCAAAGCAACTCGGCTATGGCAGCTTGTCCCGTCGTACAAATCATTCAGGCGTTTTGTGCCAAACAATGATACTGTTTTTTTATGTAAATGCAATTTATGTTAGGAAGAGTAGTCATTTTTTCACGAAAAATCACAATAGACATGTTTTACAAGGAATAAAAATAAACTGGCTGTTTTTGATAGTCGTCTTCGCGTTCAATTCAATTCATTTAAGGGCATTTTTTTCAATAATGATTTATAACTCTTGTTAATGTTTCAAACGATCGTGAAACAAAAACTGAATATAACAGATAGCAGCACTTTTCGCATACTTTAATGGCAAACTCACACCCATGAATGTGAGACGCCTAATAATAATAAGAATATATTTATATCCAGTAACATTAGACTCTTCGACATTTTGTCGTGTTAGTATATACAAAGATCTGAACTCATTGTAGTGTTAGTAAAATTAACATTTATTTATACATTTGGAAGCACATCTCAGGGTCGTATTCTAGAACTCTACTCAGTACTCAAGTCAGGATTTGAGTATGGTTTAAAGCAATTGATATCATACTCAAGTCCCTGCCATTAGGGTCGTATTTCTAGTGCTTGTGTTTCCAGTGCAATCCTGACTTGAGCATTGAGTAGAGTTCTAGAATACGACTCTCAGTGTCCAATAAAGGGGCATTCATCCCTTTCCCCTATGGCGCGGAGAGTGGAGTTGAGACTAACCTGCATACGGCGCACTAGAGACGCACACCACTTGCGCAAAGTGGCGTCAAAATCATACACACACGCGTCACCTCATTTTTATCTATTTCAAAACAAATACTGTAAATGACAAATATAAACAAATGTGTTCTTTCTACAAACATAATAAATATTCACGTAATTTCGTATAAATAAAAATATACCATTTTAAATCGAACTCCGGACTTTTTCAAATACGTCCTGAGTGTTTACCCGCTCTGCCAGCGAAGTCGTTAATGTATTTATATAATAATGAAAATCATGTTGAACAGTGCTAGTAAATTATCTTTTTCATGGAATACTTTCGTCGAAATTGCCCGAATTTATTATAATTACAAAGAATAAACAAGTAATGTAAATACAAAGAACAACTCCTAGAGTTTGTTACTTATTCTTGTCGGAGGAATCTGCGTTGCGAATAAGCAGTAATATATTTAATATTAAATTAAATTAATAATAAATTTGAGAATTTCTTGTGTACTTACTTTGCGTGCCTATGAAATAAAACATTTGAAATTTTACTCGTTCCGTGGCTAGATTGCCAAGTGAAATATTCAGGCGTTTCATTAGTTAAAAATTTATTTAAATAATATTATAGTGGTTAAAATATTTAGATACACCTACCTTAACCAATTTATCATAACAAACCGTTGAAACGCGAATTATTTGCGACTCTTCCATTATCAACAGTTTAACACCTCTTTGAGTAATCAGTAGTTGATAAATTGTTGACTCAAAACCCCGCTGATCAGAGATCTAAACATTGTCATGCCTTACTTATCTAATCATCATTATCATCGTCGTCTATGTATTGTACATCGAACAGCTGCTCTAAGGAGCTGGTGTTTAGGCCATAGTCCGCTGCTATTCTAGCCCAGTGAAAGTTGGATATTTCACACGTTTTCTAAGGATTGTGAACCTTGATGTACAGGTTTCCAAATGTACGTAATTTCGAAATTGAAGTCATTGGTATGTTCATGACCTCACAAGGACGTGGAACAGTTAGCCTTCCAATAAGAAGCAACCATTTTCCCCACTGGGCTACCAACACAACTTACATAAAATACCAATACAAAATGATCATAAAGAAAAATTGTAGAAAAAAGTAGTAAAATTAAGCCTTTAGCTATATTTATTTTATTGAATATCATTAAGTTTTTATGACCATGATATTTATATATTTATGTGAATAATAAAACCGGACCCTCATGATCCCAAAATCGCACGAAATGGATACCTTTACTAAACGAAAACGTCAGCTGTTAGGAAATGGCCAGTAAAGATTTTGAAACCAAGTTCAAATTTGAAAAAGCGAGAGTTCCGTTTGACGGTGTAATTTCCAACTTTATCTATAAATAAATACATACTGAGTTTATCCGAAAACCGTAACCGTGGCGGCTGTGGGAAGCTTGTTTCGTGGTATCCGGATGTGCGCAAATAATTAATTACCTAGCTGCATATACCTGTTTGTTAATTCCAGTAAATATTAGCTGTTAAATTATTTTGTACTTACTGTTTATAACTAAAAGTGATTTTTTTTACTTCGTTCCGTTTGGAACAGGCGTCTACTGAAGAAAAAAAAGAAATTAGTGACTAAAAGTGTTAATAAAAACACAATAAGATTTAGACTACCACAATTGCTATCGAAATTGTCATTTATTACATACATTTTTTTGTTTTAGGAATGTTGGCTCTGACACTCATTGCGAGGAGCCAAAAAACAGAAAAAAAGAAACAAAATTTCTTTTTACGTTAGTGATGGACGATACGTAAATAATTCTATTCGATTACTTCGATATTTAACGGCATAACATTTCTGGTATTTTCACTTGAGCGGGGGTTCCTTGTTAGAAAATTATAATTACGACTACGGTGAAAATGAAACGGATATACGAGTATGTGCTGGTGTGAAATTATGTGATGTAGAGGAAAATTGCTTAGGAAACGCGTTTTCTTATTTATAATTAAATTACGCGGTATCGCGTAGCAATAAAGTAGTTACTGTTGCTTAGCACAATGCTTCCTAATGACTTGAAGTATTTATGGTCGATTTTCATGCATAAAGAACAAAACTGGCTATCAGTTTTTTTTAACGCGCACTATCATAACCCCGCACTCGGGAAATACACGGGTGCCATGGACACACACATAGACAACCACAAGATACAGCCAAACTTGCGAGATCTGAGAAATCGAACTCGGAAACTTTGCGTGGCGGAGCAGCATGGTAGCCGTCCGGCCACTTGTGTAACGTCGTGCGACGGTAATCCTGTAATGCAACGATGTTTCTGTTTTAGAAGAATTTTTCAGCATTTGCACAGTACATTGTTTGTTAATATACATATATTATTATTTTTAAATACAGCTCACGGCTTATCAACTGTGTTATAAACTCATAACCTTTCTCAAGTTACGAAACAGACAATGTTCAATATAATTTGACCTGTAACCCCAAAGCATTACCCTCGTCCGTTATAAACCGAACATCATTAAACACAAAGTGTTTATCTCGTACGTGGGTGTTATTGACTTTAATAAAGAGACTCTTTGCAGTCTTCCAGAGGGAGGGAGACGCTGCTGTTATCACAACGAGCACGCCTTGCTTACAATTTACATAACATGAATAAAAAATATTGTAGACATCCATAACAAGATGTAAACATAAATGAAACATACAGAAGATATTATATTTTATTAGTTCTTTGAATATTAAAATACATAAACATAGTGTAGACATGTTTACCCATTTGTTACTTAGAAAAATAACTTGTAACTTTATATTATACCAATATAACACAATTTTATAAGCATTATTGTCTATACAAAACAACATTGTTATGCTTAATTAGCACAATGGCTTTAGATTAAATTAACGTGGGTCATAATATAACTTGAAAGTCCTGATTTTTAACAACATATCCTAAATCTTATTCTTCGTATTGGACTTCAAAAGATCAATGCCTAGTTGAACTGCTTGCAAAGCAGTTCCTGGTGCACACATAACACCGTATCCTCCATGACCGTAACAATGCACCACTTTTAAGCTATTAATCAGCTCTCCCTCCACACGAACAGGCACTCTATGAGGACGCAGCCCTACTTTGTGACCAACAATATCAGCTTTTTTTAAAGAAGGTACTATCTCACAACATCTTTCCAGAATAGCATTAGCGTCATGCCTACAAACATTCAAGTTGTAACTATCATATTGGCGAGTACCGCCCAATGTTGCTACACCATCCATTCCCGGTATAATGTACGTGTCATAGTCTCCATAAATCGCTGTCTTCAACCATGGAGCCCGAGCCTTAATGATTTGCCCCCGAATTGGTACCAAATCATGATCATCGCATAAATATTTTGCTCCCAATCCTGTGCAATTAAGAACCAAATCGTACTTTCGAGTTAACGATGCAAAACTTTCAAGTTTGCTTTTACTAAGCTTTCCTCCTTGGGCTGTAAATTTTCTTTCTACCCACGGTAAATAACAATCACATCCCGCTTTAATTGTAGAGAAATAAGATCCGTATTTAAAGCCTTCGCCACAAAGTTTCAGCTCATTCTCTTCCACAGGTCGATAAAGTGGCACTACATCTTCCATGAGGTGATTTCTCGTAACATGATAGTTATCTTTAGAAAAAATATAACCGTCGACTTGCATGACTCCTGCGTTAGACGCTTCGGAAGATCTCAGTATGTCCTGCCAATAATCCCAAGAATCACGCATCCATTTTTGGGTAATCTCCTTCGTTCGACCCCTGAAGCTGGTACCAGGTCTGAAAATTCCTGCAGCGACCATACTGGTTGTGTCTTCTGCGAATTTATCTGCTATTATTGTTATTTCGGCATTTCTCAAACTATCTTGCATCAATTTCGCAGCAGTCATTCCTACAACACCAGCTCCTAAGACGGCTATTTTTGTCGAATTGTTGTCCATTTTAATCTGTAACAATAAGCCGAATAATTATAACACAAATAAAGTCCATCTACAGTAACGTCTACCAAAATATTCATGTATAAGAGAGCTTAGATAGAAAGACGGATGTTAGGATGTTTATTGCTCAATTCTGTCTGAATTTTAGATGAAACGGCTTAACCTATTTGATATTTGATTAGGTTTTAGGGAGTCGGTTAGAAGGTAAGATGGCGAGCACGATTATTCACATAATGGCAAGTTGGGTATCATTTTCGATGTATTTGGGGTGCTCATTACGAATATAGAATTTATTTCTAAATCCAAGATGGCGAACACGACTTTTCAAGTAAATGTAATATCTCGAAAATGATACCTCATTTTCGAGGTATTTCGGGTTACGAATATGGCACTCATTTCTAAATCCAAAATGGCGGACACGATTTTTCAAATAATGGCAACTTGGGTATCGTTTTCGAGGTATTTGGGGGTGCTCATTACGAATATGGTACTCATTTCTAAATCCAAAATGGCGGGCAAGGGGGTGGTAGCCTAATTCACCCTGATCCACCTTTCTTTTTTTTGATGGGGGAAATCTTTATGGATACCCCTGAGCCCAGGGAGCGGTTATGTGGGGACTCTCCCTCTCGACTGAAGGGACTCTGATCCACCACCTAACTTACCCTCTAACCCAACCCCCAACCTACCTCTAACCCACCCCCTAACCGATCCCCTAACCAACCCCCTAACCGACTCCCTAACCGACGCCCAACCGACACCCAAACGACCCCCAACCGGCCCCAATCAACCCTCTAACCGACCCCCTAACCGACCCCCTAACCGACTTTGGTTTGGCTACTTTTGTAGTCTAGATGATTAAGAATCGTATTCCAGAACTCTACTCAATGCTCATCAATTGAAATGAAAGTAAAATGAAATGAAAAAGTATGATTTAAAGCACTAGAAACCATACTCAAATCCTTGCCATTAGGGTCGTATTTCCAGTGCTTGAAATCATACTCAAGTCCTGACTTGAGCATTGAGTAGAGTTCTGGAATACGACCCTATGACCGACTATATCAATCAATTTATACAGAAGCGTTCACTAAATGTAGAGTAAATTAACCCATCCCACAAACTCCACAACTTTGCTGACGTGTAGCCGATATGAAATATGTCAGTGTTATTTAACTTTTGATAGAGCCGTTTAGGCACACTGTTGTTTAAAGCGTGATGAAATTCTCTTTCGATTGCTCTGGCATCAACTGAACCACCGACTCAGTCTATTTAAAATAAGTAAATAAGTATATCACGATCCATTAGAAAAAACCCTGCGTAACAGTGAGACATATAATGGATGATAATGATTACTAGATACATGCTTCATAATTACATTTACTCAAAATAATACAGCAAACATTTTCAATAGATTAGATAAAACAGCGAGCGTATCATGAGAAATATATAAATCTATACTATACTTTGTACATGACATAATAGGCCCTTTTTTCCAACAGAGACTATTAATGGACTTTTTAATGTATTTATACATGCTTATTGTTACGTAGACTGGTGCCAACTGAGTAGGTACTGAAATCAAAGGTATTAAAAGTGACGCCGACCTTATCAATTACCAAATCTAAATACCCCATTAGGAAACAAATGTATGCACTCACAGTTTTAAGTTAATCTTAAATTGTTGTAATATGCATATTTACAAAACATACCATCTGCACAGCACCATAACAAAAATATTCGTTTCGTTTACAGAGGCGCGACCACCGCGCAAGAACTACAATCAACTGTCATCAAACGAGAAACTCGATAACCGACAGACCGAAGATATTCACATCGAAGAGGCCGCAGCAGAATCGGATGCGAGCAGCACAGATTTGGATGAACGTGATACACGGGGCGTTTGCCCTCCCTGTGTGCATGATCGATACAACAACAATATACGAAGACACGTTCACGACGATTTTAGCGACGACACTGATTATGGTAAGAAATCATTTACTAAATCATTTATGAAATAAAAATCGGTTACAGTGAAGCCGGTTTCATGATTCGATTTCTTCAAATCGATATCGGTCGACACATGCGCACCACTATTTTCAGCTGACATGGCTGCCTTTCAGTCTGTCAGCCAGTGTTTTCGAACCACCCGAATTTACGGGAGATTCATTCATGAAATACAACAATTATAAAATCTATTTCTCTCGGGCAAAGTTTAATCCGATATAGTTTGTTACAGTGATGATAATTTCTGTCTTTGTATTCAGATTTAAAACCACCAGGTAAGATTTAAGAAAGAACTAAGACACGTAAGACTTATTTATCTCTTATCTTAAGAGGTAAGAGATAGGTAAGTTACGATGTAAAAACTATGTGAAAGTGAGTAGTGATTAACGTAAGAACATCGAAAAAAGAGGAACAAGTACAGATATTATAAAAACGTTGATAAGTCGAAAAAGTTTTTTTTTTATATATTAACATAAATCATATTCCGTTTTAAAAAAAATATTTATTATGACAATAATAACTTATTTATTATGTTTTCAGAATTTTAACATTTTTTCAACTTATTTAAGCTAAATTATGTTAATTGTAGTTGATTTTTTTCTTATTTCGTTTTATTCGCAACGCAACATCTGATTTTACCCAGAAACTTTTCTCCCGATATTTCGACCACAATACTACCGAATTATCTCTTTGTGTTGGTAACACTGCTGTGAGCGGAGTAGTAAGACAACTGTCAGACGTTGTCGTACTTTTTGTTCCGTGATTGTGAATCGTGATGACGATATTTTGAAGTAAATCTCGCAATTTTAACGTTAATATTCGTGAAATTATAAAGGAAAAACGAATAATTATTTGTACACCAAAATGGCGTCTCTAAAGTCTGATTTGGATCAATATTTGCTACAAAACGAAACTCGAAAAAGTTACAAGATTAGTTTACCGTTTTCTACACCGGGTTTTCTTTCGAGAACTCCTACTGAAGATACTCCAACAAGCAGTTCTAGTGCTGGAAGCTGGCTCGATGAAGTGCAGAAGGAATATTTTACACTGGTGAGTACTATGACATACTTTTTGTTGTTGTTAACTGGCTTTGAAAAATGATTGTTTTGTGAGTCACCTATTAATACAAATACTGCATAATGATTTCACTGGGTCTAATATTGCGACGCCCCCGTGACCGAGAAAACTATGTTCCGCGAACATGCACTATTCAACTTAGAAGTTGCTAAATATCCTTAACTACACCTCTTTGACTATCAACAATGGGCTTATCTATTCTTATATGTAATTCTATTCACGGCGCACTGTAGTTTAAATTGCTTTTAATTAAAATTATGTAAATAGCAGCAATGCTGGGAATTTTGAGAGGCTTCAAGTATTGGAACAAAATTTTTTTAATGGAGTCTGCAGTGTTCTGTCGTTAGAAATATTTTATAATTAAGGCACTTTGAAAATTTTCCCCAGTTAATAATAATAAAGATTATACGGCATGCCCAAAATTATGTAAACTTTTGTTTACATACAAAAAAAAATTAAAGTGACCTTAGAATCAGGTGATTAGTTAATGTATAGCATTGTTATTTCTCTTATTATATGCTCTCACAAACAAATAAAGTGGTCCTGCACTGGGGTCCATGCTACTCTGACATCGAGGGAAATGAGGCAGCAGACAAACTGGCAAAGGCTGGTGCTAGGGAAACCTTTATTGGACCCAAACCCTTTATAGGGATGGCATACAGCATGGCAAAGCTCACTCTGCTGAATGAGAGCACACATGTCTCCCGAGAAGTGTGGCTACAGAACAAGGCTCTTGAGCATTCAAAAGCCCTGATAGCTGCCTACAGTGCCAAACACTGTAGAGAAGCTCTGTTCTTGGACAGGCATGGCATTAGAATGCTAACTAGAGTCTTAACATGACACTGTGGCTTGAACAAGCACATGTCAAATATTGGGCAAAGAGAGAATAGAGAGTGTAGATTCCACCACAAGGAGGATGAAACTCCTGTTCATTTTCTCAACCAATGTTACCCTCTCATGGGCGTTCAAAGCTCCATACTGGGAAGGCCCACACCACAACCAGAGGACATAAAATCTGTCAGAGCCAGGTAAGTCCTTCAGTTCTTCAGTGCTTTTGGCCTTGGCTCCAAACTGTAATTAGTGGTGACCACAATAGATCAGCTGTTTGGTTGGTGATGAGAGGCTACATATGCCCTAAATGAAGCCACTCTAATGATAATAATAATAATAAATACAGATATAACAATTACCTTTTTTTGTAATATCTTGTTTTAGCAAATACTGTTTACACAAGACAAAAAAAATTGTTATTTAACATTTATGTACATTAACATTGATGTATGTTCTATCTTATATTTCAGAGTCGAACGCAGAGGTTCATGGGGTTTGGAGTGTGTCTCTTCTTTGGCATTCTCTGCTTCATATTATCATTCCTGTATGTGCCAGTGCTGTTGTTCCAAGCCAGGAAGTTTGCCCTGTTATTTACACTGGGTAGCATGTTCCTCATATTCAGGTAATTACAATTACAGCGCTTCCCACAAATTCTAATGACAAAAGGACAATTGAATTTCCTTATTTTTCATAGTCCTGTTTTCATTCAAGATACATTGAAAGAGGATGGCCACAATAATCATTTTAAGTTCAAATTGAGAATGGTTTTAATAAGGCTGGGTTACATATATGAATATATGCAACCCAATTACTTCCCTTTGCTATGTGTATTCAAAGTTTGGTTATTTGCCAATATTTGGCATTTTTCTTAAAAATAGTTGTAAAAATACTAGAAACGAAACATTCATTGCAAACTTTGTATTTTCAACAAGTACATAATATACTGTTGTCTTCCGAAGTTTTCTAGTATATGAGAGTAGCAGATCACTTGCTTTACATCAACATTGATTTTGCTTTTTTAGATGCATTAATTTATTACTGTTCAGCATGAAACACACAATATAAGATATACTCGAAGTGTAGTGAAGTCCATAACATTTATTGGGCTAGCACAATAGGACTACAACTCGTAAGAAGGCAAAACAGCATTATAGATTAAACAAAAATATCAATGATAATGAACATAATTTATTTGACCTAATGTAGGCTCATAATTTTGTTAGTCCATCATAATAATTGAAGTAAATTATTGTTTAAGGGCTTGACCTTACATTGATAGGTGTAATGGGCACCTCTAGGTACTTATATTCTAATTATTTATGAACATACCTGTAATGAAACTCGAGGTTTTGGACTTAGTGCAACCTTTTCTAACCTACTACAATCACCTTGAATATCAAGCAGTATCATTGAAGATCCGCTTATATGTAAAACAGTGGCAAATGCGGAGTAATAATTTATTTTTTGTACCTCAGAAATAACAGCGAGCCGGCTTAGAAAGCGCCGGCTCTGCTAAATGATAAGAGCCAACGTTATATTTCTAGTAAAACCATCTTTTCTATGAAAAGGCGAAAATATCACTGATTCATGACCTGCCGAATGGACGAAATTTTTCTTTGATGTTTTTTTTTACTTGCAAAGAGCTCCTTGTAAAAGAGTTAGTCCAGGGAAGTACTACCACCTTATTCTGCCGCAAGGCAGTAATGTGAGCATTACTGTAATCCAGTTTTAAAGGGTATGAGTATTGGTGAAACTACAAGCACATAGGAACTTTATGTCTCGAATGACGGACGCAATGGGAGCGACCCTTAGATTTTTACGATTTATAGTCCTGAACGACACTAAACTCCACTAACTTGTTATAATTATTAAACAAAGATCGAACGCTTAGAAATAATTTACTTTGATCTGTTTGAATTCGAACCAACGTCTCATCGCAAGTCGTGTCAGACGCTATGCCAACTAAGCCAAGGAACTAGATTTAGATTTATTTATTATCTTGTAAACTTTACATTATTATATACATTATTGTATACATTATTATAAATAATATAACTAAAGACCTCACTGTGGCTTATTTAGCATAGCGTCTGGCACAGTTTGCTAGGAGATGTTGATTCTAATCCAACCAGATAATTATAACAAACTAGTGGAGTAATTTCACAAAAAATAATTTAATATCGATGATGGTGAAACATTCTGACGTTCAGTAAAACTAAGGGTCGTATTCCAGGACTCTACTCAAGACTCAAGTCAGGACTTGAGCATTGCAGTGAGCACTGAAAATCATACTCAAGTCCTTGCCATTAGGGTCGTATTTCCAGTGTTTGAAATCATACTCAAGTCTGCTCAAATCCTGACTTGAGCATTGAGTAGAGTTCTGGAATACGACCCTTAATTTGTCACTAAACTGTTGTGGAGAGGCGTGTCGTTTACATCCAAGCCCACGACTTGTTATCATAAAAATAATAATAATAAAACTGGTAGGAGCTGTTTAATAATACAGGCCACAGATCTGTTTGTCAGGCGCTTTGATGAATTTTAACACTTATACTATCCCCGAAATTGACATAAACTAATATCCTCTATGACAACAGTTTCAGCTTTCTATATGGACCATGGAACCACTTGAAGTCACTCTTCAGCAAAGACAGAGCGCTCACAACGTTGCTGTATGGGCTTACACTGTTTGGCACGTTGTACTGTGCACTGCATCTACAAAGCACAGTGTGGACTATAGTTTGCGCTGTTTTTCAGGTACGTGTTATGAAAAGTAGATAATCTAAGAATAAGGTAACTATAGTTTGTATATGTTGTCTTTACAAAGAAATGTACGTACGTCAGAAGGTGTTCAAGTACTTCAGTGAGGGGGAAATATTCTAATAGCATAAACAGTACACACGACGTTACGTATAGGCTTTTTGTTATGGTTATTAATACAAAGATACAAAGATCGAACACACAGAAGAATTTCTTCGACCCAGTGGGACTTGAACCCGCGTCTTTGCTGCACCGTAGCATTGCTCTTACCAACTGAACCCAAGGGGCTTACTATGAGCTTATAAGCAGCCAGTCCAGTTCCATGCAATTCACATGACATGGTAAAACTGAATTGCTTAAATTCGTATCATGACCTGCACAAAGTTGAACGGGAATGGCATGGCAGGATGACGAGTTTTACTTTTTACATATTGATTTACATACTAAATCATATGAAAGAAATTGACAGATGTGCTATCCTGGGAGCGTTCAAGCACTATTAACCGATTGTGTTCAAAATGATAAAAATTATACTTTTTTATTAATTTTATTATTAATTATACTTATTACGTTGTTTTCAAATATCGGCAACTTTTCAATTTTACTTTACAATTTGTTGTACGACAAAATTACATGTCATGTCTAGTCATTATCATTGAAATGAATAAGGTGAGTTTGTAATTTGATAACATAATTGGAACATATCTTATATTCGTACATTTTCATTGATTGCATTAAAGTCAAATTTGGCGCTTTTCAAAAGTTGTTTTACGATTTTCGCTAAGTCAATAAAATTATTAAAATTTCATTTAAAAATTGCAATAACATTTATGCCAATAATTTAAAGATCGGAAACTCGGAACTAAAACATTCAAAAAACGCTCAATAGTTAATAGTATTTATTTATTGACAATTGGCTATATAGCCTAAAAAGACAACAAATAATTATGAAACTGCAAATATAATAAAACTTAAACGAAATTTCTTAAAAATGTAACAAAATCTAAAAAAAGTTAGTCACGGAGTAACTTTATTTGAATTGCTTATTTTGACAGATGAGACCGTCATCATCATGGCCAATGACACGTCATGATATGATTTTACTATGAAAAAAAAGGTGAACGGATTTCGAATGGCGAACGTAAACTGCATGGACAGTGAATTGTTTGTGCGAGGTCATAGTACGAATTTGACAGGCAATCCAACTTACAGGCTTAAATAGAATTGCTCTAAGAGCTCATAGTATGCACCCTGGTCAAGTTACCGAGTTGTCCAAATCCTCCTGTGTTTTTGTTATAGACCTTTCGGCATTCAGGAATTCCAATGTCCGTTGATCATTTGATCCAATTTGGGACATTTACAAAAATACAAAATTCCTCACCAACATCAGATATTATAAGTTACATTGTTTTGATCACTCTCCTCATGTTTCCAGGTAATAGCCCTAGTCTGGATGATGATGGGCTCGATTCCGGGTGGAGCTACAGGTGCCAGGTTCTTTGGCAGCATGTTCAAGTCGACAGTGTCGAACACGCTGCCTATTTAACACCTAGATCTCATTCGTATTCATGTGGAATTGTGGTGACATTTGCGGCCCACCTCGATCTTTTAATGAACATTCTATAACGAAATAAGCAGTGTCATTCATATTCGTGTGGTCATTTATGGGATGGCAAGTGAAGCTGCTTTCATCAGATGACTAAACATGTATTGATGGTGCCACCATTTTAAGATTCACTAGTAAGTTGGCAATGTTTACATTATGCAATATTCAGGGCACTCAATTAAATTTTCTCATGCAATACACTTGGAAATTTGCAACTTGTTTGTATTAATATTAATGTAAATAGTACACAAGTAAGCATATACACCTACCACCTAATGAATATTGCATGATTTAAATATGGCTAACGTTTCCCCCGTTTCCAAACGCTCCTGGTGAGTACGTGCCTTAAAGATTAATTGTCGATTTGTTAGTTAGTTTGTAATGTGTTATAAACAGAGATGGCCAAGCGCCCGGGTTTTAACCCGGTGCTTATTTAATGCCGGGTTTAAATCGGGTTAATACACATTAATGCCCAAAATCTAGGGCAAAAACTATTTACTACTAAATGTTTGTTGTAAGTCGAATTTCGGTCAAGTTTAATTATATTAAATACAAAATGTGTATTGGTTTCTGATCTAGACTATTCGATTTGCCTTTTTAATGAATTGGTTCGCTTGAAAATCGCATTGAAATAAATCGATACGTAAAATCGTATGGCCTCGAATGTACATCCTTAATGGTGGGAATCCACAGGATTGCAAAGAAATTCTTTTAAAAATATTTTTTACACCGAAATTTGTAATAAGTATGGAATTATACCAAATTCCGTATTCGCCTTTCCTGCCCACAATTTTGGGCAGAAATGGATTAAAACCTTTGGAAAAAACCCGTGGCGGGTTGATTGGGTTTTAATTCACTGCTCATCGCTGGTTATAAAGTTTGAAATAGCCGGTTTTTGTAAGTGTTCATTGTAATTACGTATTTGTATATATTTATATAAAACCATTACGCCCGCCTACTACCATTCTGACCTACTCCAGTCGCATCTCATATAATATGCTCGTTCATTCTTGGTACTTTGAGCCTGGTATTTTTAAGGGCATTCCCAATCTGATTGAGATATACAGTGTTTTTTTTTCAAATGGGACTGTATGGGGAAAACCCACACCATAGAAGATACAATGAAACTGTCTTAGGAACAATTAAATCTTTTTTTGTGAAATCATCGTCATTGATCAACACTGCCCCTAGTGGCCGCCATTAAGGAAATAGAATAGAAACATTTTTTAGTGCTCATCGACTCGGTTTCATGAAGAAATCACTTCATTGTGTGGGATAAAAAAACCGAGACAGAATAAGTTGATCAAATTTCATAAAACATTTTTTCATAAAAAGTGACAACTCACGCTTGACTATAATATATATAATGACCATATCAAAATTGTTTTCACAAGAAACGACTTAATGGTTCCTAAGACATTTACCTTGCATCTTCTATGGTTTCCCCATATTGTCCCATTAAGAAAAGCGCTCTATATAAGTCGAGGTCTACCTCTTTCTTTGTTTTATTAATAGCAACAAAAAAAGTTTAGGGATTCACAAAACTAGCCGATTTTATCGTATTGATTAAAATGTATGATCTAACCGTGAAGGGTAAAGATACAATTATCCCAATTGTCAGTCCTCAGTCTATGCGACACTGATGGCAAGCTAGCTGTCGATTGTGTAATGGCCACAAACCAATTTTAGCAATTTCTGAATTTGTCTTGCTGACCACGCAATTTTGGTACGGGGAAATGTTGGCAACTTTGTTGGTAACTGGTTCTATACTTACATATCGATGCCTTACTTTCTCAAACTCGTATTTTTTTTTTTTTTTTGGCATAGCTACAGAATACAAACTGTGAAGACGCTTAAAGTTAACATGCATTATAATAGGAGTAAATTTGTATTCCTATGACAGCCACGCACGGCATTTGCAAAATAAATAAGTACTTACAAATTAACAGGTTATTAAACATAATATAAAAAAAATTAAAATTTGCACTTAAAAACAATAGCAAATAAATCATGTTACACGTAAAAAAAACGATGAGATTCTTAAATATCCAACATATTCAGCTTCTCCTTACAAATATTTAAATATGTATAGCGACTATGGGAGAATAAGTCCAAATCTTTAGAAAAGTTGTTATGAGCTCTAAACATGCGAAAAATAGGATCATTATATGAGACATTGTTAGTGGTACATGGCAAAGAAAAAGTTATTTGGGTACGTTTACTGCCAATCTTAAACAAGGCGTGGCTTAAGATCTCACTTGAGTCCATTTCAAAGTTGATAATTTTAAACAGTGTGGAATAGTCCAGTATCACACGTCTGTACTGAAGTGGGCGTACCTTAAAATATTTGAGTCTTGCCTCGTAAGTATCCAATTTCCTACGTATTTTATTGCATTTCAGTAAATTTTTAAGAATACGAGTTTGAGAAAGTTAGGCGGCCATATAGGCCACGAAATATTATCTAGGCCGATGAATGGTAGCAGCTTGAATGACTTCTATCCAAAAGGGTACTAAAGACTAAAACTACCTTATACTGTTTTACAAAAAAAAAAGGTGAAATCAGCGTTGGTACATTCTAATGGTTATACGTATAACAAATGTACAAGGCAAATAGTGCATCAAGTTTGACACTTAAGAATTAAATTTAACGTTATGAAGCTTGCGATAAGAGAGGTCCTAAGTGACAAACTTATGTGCCACTAATTACTTGAACGCAAGAACATAGCGTCAAAATTCTCTATTGAAAATTTTACTTAATGTCATTGACCATAGTGTTCAAAATTGCAGCTTACCTGTGAATTATATACGCGCTTATTGTATAAAGAACATCGCACAGTCGGTTACACCACGTGAGCGGTATAACCTACAGTGCGGTATTCTTCAGGATCAATACTAAGTGGCAAATACTACACTCCCCGTTAGGAATATTGAATTGACTCTTTCTGTGCGGACTTAGGCGCATTTTAACTCTTCTCGAAAAGCACTGCTACACTGTCGCCCTTCTATAGTTACTGACGTCAGGAAATTCAACTGTAGATATGCAGCTCGAGTCAAACTTGTTCGATCAGTGAGTCAACATGGTATTAGTAGAGAAGGTTCGCCACTGAATGCCAAGTAAAATCGTACATCATACTCAATTAAGAAAAAGTTCATTATAACACGGCTATATGGTTTTAAACCTTTTGCCTTTTCGTTAACGAAAAGAATTTAAAAAACAACAATAGGACAAAAATAACAGATACAACAGTTAGGATGGAACACTCATTGACGTGTTTCGGTAGGCTATTAATTAAACGTACTAAATATATACTAGGCGGAACGTCGATTACTTTTTATTGTGACAGGACGAACAAGTCGTGCACCTGGTGGTAAGCGACACGCCTGTCCATAGCAGTTCCAGTGCCACTCAGAGCTTTAAATCGCAAAGATCTGAGGGGCACTGCCACTGCGCCCGTCACCCTGAGACATAAGTTGACAAGTCCCATGTGCCTGTAATTTCACAACAGGAATGCAGTAATATACACATTACTGCTTGGCTGCAAAAATAAGTAAGGTAGCAGTACTTCACTGAACAAACTCTTTCACAAGCTACTTACCGAAGCGTAGCAAGTTTTCTTCCAATTTATTTATAATGACTATATCGAAATACGTGAGTACTTCAAACTCCTACTACACTAAACTCAGCTCAGCACATTCGACCTCTTGATGCATGCCTCCTGCCGCAAAGCTTATTAAAACAGAGAAAATGTGAAATAAAAGTAAATAAAAATAACCTTCTTATTACAATATTATTTTTATTACTTATTAAAGAATCTTACATTAATAATTTTGCATTAGTAAAATCGTAAAGGTTATAGATAGGTATTTCAGGTTAATAATATTATATTCTAATTAATACCGATAAGTATTACTGCCTATTATTACATTAAAAAAACTACTCCTTTCTTCGTTCTGGAGGAATATGAAAAATTACATCTTTGTCAAAACATACAAGCATCTTCCAGAAGTGTGCGTGGACCAGTGTCATATACTCAGTGCTGTATGTACTTAAGGATGCACGGACACGTTCTAGACACGTGGTCTTGGTTAGGGTCTATTTTGTAATTTATCGTACTGTCTTACTTTTTATTTATAAATATTAACATGGAGCAATGACTAGAGAGGACTGCTAATCTCTATACTACAGATCGTAACTCTGCAAAAGGTCAAAATTCCGTCTTAAATATAGATGGCGCTGATCAATAAATAACCTAGAAGGACTATGTTACCGTAAATGGCCGTGGATGTCAATTAACTCCTCGTAAATGTGAAATATAACAAGTTAGTTTTTTCCTTGAAATATATATCATTTATATACTCGCATCGAGTATATAACCAGAAAGAGACGAAATGTCATTTATTTTAGAAAACTATTCTGCCAAATGACAACTGCGCTCCGATTGACCAACAAGTGAGACATATTCATACGTGTTATAGTAAATCATGTTACAACTTCACATAGACTAAAATAAAATTAGGATATGGGTTAGAACAAAAAATGTACTGACAGCAAACAAAAAAAAACATAAATAAAAATAAAATATTTTTTTTAGTTTAATTTTAGAAGAGCACAGGAGCAGCCGTGTTTTCTAATTAAGTTTTTTTTCAAGATTTAGATTACATTATACTCATGGCTCAATACTTAACTACGACGTTAAAGATGTAGATTTTTTTACTTTACCGATTCTTTAAATAAGTCATTATACAGTAATAATAATTATAGTTGCAAATATCGATACTTAATATGATTTTTTCAGTGCAACACTAGTAAGGCGTGCCTAATGAATAGAATGAGATGACGTAATAGGCACTTCAAATCGACCAGTTTAACTTGAGCTATGCTATAATGGACGATAATTGAAAAATTTCAAATTTAATTACCAATGAAAAGTGATTCCGTTCGTTTTGTAATTAGATGTTTTATTTTTCCCACACCACGGAATAGAACGCCATTAGAGACATTATCTTTATTACATTAAATCCACACATCAGTTAATACAAATATTTAGCTTCATATGAAGTTCCATGCGTATTTTTATACCTATTGATTTGTAAAGTGTATGTTTCAATAAAAAGATGTATCAAGATTGTTTACATTTAGTTAAATATCTAAACAAATGGACTATAATATCGGTAGATGGAAATAATAGTAAACAAAATATAAGAATAGCCGGCACTATCGATAAAAATCAATATAATAAATGCAATAAGCGCCATCTAGTTATCCGTTATCACTATAAACTGGGCAGCTTTAATAAATTGCAGCTTGTCAATGTAAAACAAATTAATTACAAAAATAGCTACCAAATCGTTGCGACATCTGGTGCTCCAATGGGTACTAAATATCCGACTACGCCACCTTGTGTCATGGTTAGCAATTTTCTTGAGTTATTGGTTCATGATGTTAATAAACAAATTTTCAATGGTTTTTGCCAAAATAGAATATAACTCAATCCATTGGTAGGTACCATTTATACAATTAAAAAAATATATTGAAAAATAATGTGGGGTACACAACTAATAATACTTAGGCTCAACCTACACTGGCGCAGAGTCGAAGCGTCGCGTCGCTTCCTGTTTTTCAACTACAACGCCTGGCGACACACGTCGACGTTCGCATTTGTGCGCCCAGGTGGTCGGCGTCTGACGCCTCACTGCGTTCAAGTAACGCGCGACTCCATATTTGCATAACACAAATTTGTACCTTAATAATGGGAAAATAGAGATGAATATGCTATAGGCGCAAAACATGACGCGTCGCGACGCTTCGACTCTGCGCCAGTGTGAGTCGAGCCTTATTGTTGGCTCTTGTGTGTTCAAATCCAGCGGATGTCAGCGCTGTGGTCTTCAATGCATTTACTTATAAAACATATCTCTAATTGTAATTGTCTTTCAAAATTTTATATATATAACAAAGCAACCTAGAATTTTCACAGCTTTTTATATGATGCTGTTTAGCTCCACTTTACACATATTTAATTTTAATATAAATAAAAAAGCTCAAAATATTTCTTGTACGTTGTAAAAACAAGCGATGCTATGAACAACTGAAGCTAAAGCGACAATAATGTTTTGTGATATGCTCGGTGTTGAATGTCAAATGTATACAATTTTTAATTAAAATGATGTATATTGAAACTGCTATTTTATTGAATTCCCATCTTAGTACAATGCCATAAGAATGCTCGGTTCATATTGTTGGTGCCCAACGAGAAAATCCCTTCTGGTAATCACGCGCGACCAAGTACGTGTACATAATATCGATCACATCATTGTGACAATTTGAATGGAAATGGTTATTAGTACATACCTACCTATTTAATCATGCCATAAGTAATGCAACAACTAAAATAAGAGTAAAAATTTCGCTTCAGAAATGTTTGAGAGGACAGAATCACTACACTGAGGGCCGTATTCTAGAACTCTACTCAATGCTCAAGTCAGTACTTGAGTATTGCAGTGAGCACTGAAAATAATACTCAAGTCCCTGCAGTTAGGGTCGTATTTCCAGTGCAATCCTGACTTGAGCATTGAGTAGAGTTCTAGAATATGACCCTGAAAGTCGTATTCCAGAACTGTACTCAATGCTCAAGTCAGGATTTGAGCAGACTTGAGTATGATTATAAGCGGAAACACGACCCTGATGGCAAGGACTTGAGTATGATTTCTAGTGCTTTGAATCATACTCAAGTTCTGACTTGAGCATTGAGTAGAGTTCTAGAAATGTGCTATTCAACTCAAAACAACTACTTGTAGAAACGCAGGTTGCATATAGTAATAGTAACAAGATAAGAATAATTCCACTGTGCCCGGTCGAACATTGCAGGCGTTTTGTGTATTTACTACGATGTATTCATTGACTTACAAATAAATGGACGACGGGTCTAATACAAAAACCACGAAAAAAATGTCCCAAGTCAACCTATTTAAACGTAGTGACATGTAAAGGAATATGAAAAAGCTAAAACGTTGAATTTAAATTGTAATGTCATCGCAGTAGTCTAATTTTGCTTGCTTCGCTGTCAGTCGAACAAACGAAGACTAAAGCGTGAATGACGCTCTGTATACGATTTTAACGCCCTATAAGTTCGGACTCTTTTTAGCGCGGACCCGACGTCCATATAATTGTAAGTCAATGGATGTATTGGACACTATGCAATTGACTAATTTGAGAAACGAGTTTTAAATATATGGATTGAGTAACTTGTTTTAGGTGGTTTTAATTACCGAAAAGCAAATACATATAGTGCAAGACCTAACTTTACCTGTTTGACCAAATATTTAACGATAGATTATTTCTCATCCACCATCGACATTTAAAACACTTATTGTTCCCAGAGGAAGCATTGACGTGCAACGTGTGCGACCGCTCGTTCCCAACACGTCGGCAGCTCGCCGACCATCAGCAGAAAAAGCGACATTTCGGGTACGTTGCTTATACTAGACAAGACGAATAAACAGTTCTTCTTGCAAGTCTTCCTTTTATTTAAAAACAAGTCTTTTTCCAATAATTATGAACTTTAACCGTAATGCAATCGGTTGTAGAGCATCATAGTCTCTGCGATACTCATAGTTTATGCGTCTCAGCTTAACATCCGCGCCATATGACTTGGTCGATGCAAAATAACAACCTAAAAAATATTTCTTCCAGCTGCAACGCTTGCGACAGCCTATTCCCCTCGCTGATGGCTCTGGAGCACCACAAGGAAGAGTTCGAGCACTGGAGCGACTCCTGCTGCAGCCACTCCGAGTCCGAAGAGAGCGAGAACGAGTGCCACGAGGATCGGCACCGATTACTCTAATGCCATCATCTCATTATTGCCGGGGACCGCCCCAGTAAACTGGGGACTTTCGTTTAGACTCATATGTCTATTGTCTGACGGACTAAAATATTCTTTTAATGATAACTTTATTTATACAGCATTATTTAAGGCTAAAAAGATAGCAAAGAAACTCAAAGTGTAATGTATTTAAACTATAAACTAAATGTGTAAAGCGTGATAATAAAAACCCGCCATTTTTCCACGAGGTATATCCGATGATTTATTGTAAAATCAGGCGGCAGAGCACCGCTGTTGGCGGTTGGTGGCGATTTGCCTTGAAATAAAACAAAATTTTGACAGTACAGGCTGAAGTTCTTTCAAACAATATATTATGTAAATAAATACAAAAAGCTTAAGTAATGATAACACATTTAACGACAACGACATGTTAGAGTGAATTGCTTTTTCCGTCAGGCACTATTCATATTTGTATCTTCTCAAAGATTATTAAAATGCAGCAACTGACACATAATCTCTCACTATGGTAGTAACAGGATAATTGAACGTTACTTCACTTATATAGGCGCAAAGATACCAAACCACCGCTATTTTCTAAATTTGTTCTAAGATTTTCTTGAAAAAGCTTTTTATGAAAAATATTTTTTTTGTCTTTTAACTGCATTAAAAAAATGTGTTTTGGAGTTTTCACCATTTGAGTGTACCGCTGTGGGTACACACTTTAAACCTGACAAAAAATTCTACTTAAGTCTTATTTGATTTTTGTGTTGCCTTCATAAAATATAGGTGATTTCGTATTTGATAAATTACGACCTGAAAATCAATTAAATTTAGGTGAGATTTTCTGTAAACCTATAATGAAAATACGAAATAAAAACACATGTTGATCATATCAGTAATGTATTTTAAAAAAATTATAACATGTTAAAGTGGTATAAAAACGTTATTGCCCTTAAGTGGCTTCACAATCCTCTTTCGCATTTATTTAAATTTTAAAACAAGGTTATTTTGTAAAATACTAGCAACCTTGCAGGACTATATTGCTAGAATCGTGAACAGCAATGTTTATTGCATGACATTTTATAATTGGTCACATTTGGCTTTCGTGCAAAAATAAAAATATTTAAAAAGACCGCTCTAAACGATGAAAGTAACTCTGTGCGGTAAAAGAAAGCGCTAGCGTAAATATCAGTCCAATGCAAAACGCAGGAGCGGGAACGGGGGTCGTTGAGGAGGACGCTTGCACTTACTACCAACACAGATCTAAAAAATGTCAGTAACAAAAACTTTAAAGTTTACTTTTGGTTTTATAACGTTGTATAAAGTCACGGGGTAAATTGTTTCTGATAATTAGTAACATAGCTGTTAGTATTTTACAACAACTCAACTCTGCATACATAATATATTTAAAGCAGAATAAAAACAATCAAAACCAAAGGTGGCTCAATTTATTTGCCTTCAAGTTTACATTTCACGTTCTATAGTTTCAGTGGCTGCATTTTAAAATTATACCTTCTATGCTATTGGGGATAGGTATGCGAATAACTCGATCTTATCGAAAAGGCAGTAAATAATTCAAAGGTTGTAGTCCAACATGTATTTCGAGATATTAGTACATAGTGCCCTATCTCGCGCAAAGAAATCGTTGCACAGTCAATGCTTGGAATGAGAAAGTGAAGGGTGCTTCCTACCCATCCAAAAAGTTATTCCAGTTAGTACTTAATTTCTAAACATTTTTTTTAACTGACAAAAACAATTATAATCCTTTTTCATATCAAATACAATTGTCACATTAACGTACGTTTTTTTATTACATTTTTTCAGTGTCCCCAATATTACGTTTTCGAATCATAACATATATTATTTTTGAAATAGTTTTTTTTTATTTAGGCCCAGAACTTTGACTAAAAATCTTAACTGAATTCTAAATATTTATAAATATCAGTTATCGTCGCGAATAGGAAGCTTATCGAGATGTAATAGGAACAAGAAAATCCCATTTATCTCGTAGGAAAAGTTGGAAGCACCAAAAATCTAAATGCAGACCCTTTTTCATTGCGCGAGGTACATCGATGTTACCCCGTTCCAAATAATTAACCAAACACGTCACCTCTGTGATACTATGTCGCACTTGAAAACAAATACTGTCGTAACTTAAAAATTCGTGGAATTGAGATGATTTGAAGTTCAAAAAAAATTCTAAGTGGAACTTATTGCGAAACGTGATTATTTTTATTTATGCATGATATATTTAGTTATCCATTTACATAATTTATTGGTTTCATTCAATATTCTTTGAACTTTCAAATCGTGGTTTCTCAATTCCACGATTTTGAGTTATGTCGGTATTTGTTTTCATGTGCAATAAGTAGTTTAGGCACATATCAATTTGTAGAAGCCGTATATAACTTGTCACACAACGGAATAAGGGTCACTCGATTATGTGACTCGGGCTTTAAATGTATTGTAGTTTAATAGCATGAGTGAACCAGTCATTTATAAATTAATCTTGAAATAGGTAAAATATATATATAGATACTTCAAGTAATACATACATATAAGTGGATACCTCTCTCTGAAATCCCGGATTTTTTAATCTGTAACTATACTGTTATATTACGGCAATGTATTTAGTAGTTTTGTAATTGTAAGTAAAAATATAACGGTATTCGATCCTGGAAAGGTAAAACGTCTAACGTGCATTTGGAAAATATTACAGGAGAGCAATTTATTTCTTAAAAAAATATTCTAAATCGCTCTCCGTAATAATTTCCAAATGCACGTTAGACGTTTTACCTTTCTAGCGTCAACATTTTTAGGAGGTTGTTCACTCAATGTGTTACTTCAGGTTTAGGTATATATACTTTGCCAATTCCGAACTATGCTCGCCAGTCGTGTTTTACGTGTAAGCCCTTGTTTCCGTTTTGACGAGTTCATTCGGCGTATTTCCCCTTGTACCCCTGGATAGTTTAAAGGTGAACGGAGTAAAAATCAATTTTGTATGTTTAGTTATTAGTACGACAGAAAAATTCACTAAAAAAAAGCAAGATTGCTCAGTCCGGGGGGGACCAACGGGAATACGCCATTTATCAGTAATTTCTTAAGATTTGTAAAAACATTGTATTTATCTGAAAGCATATCTATACTCTTGTATATATACTTCGTGATATCCCGGCAATAATGCATATCACACGCAGTTATAATGACTGATCCTAGCGTTAGTTCTTATGTAAATATGTACTTTATGTACTCGTAATATGTATCATCACGTTTAGAATTTAAAAAATTCACACCAATAAATGTGACCCTCGCCTCTCCTCTCCCACCCGACCGAGGGAACCTTTCGAGTCGAGCGTCGGCCGGTCCAGTCAGATCGTAAACATTCCACTAGTCGTATACTATTTTTATATAAACTGCAACGTGCCGGAAGCGGCCCTCGGTGGAATATTTGTACAAATAAAAATACGATTGAAAATATGTACAGAAATGTTTATTTTTATAGGAAATCACATGTTCACAGAGTACAGGCTACGACACACGTACGTACCGTATGTCCGATCTCCCATAAAGGTGCCGAAAGGCCGCGGTCGGCGGAATCGTCCGGGGAGCGACGTACACATCTTGAATTTTTCATACAATCGAGTAATCGGGAATACAAATCGCGAATCTCTTAGAAAAGCATAATACGAGTAAGTCTAGGGCCCGGGCCGCTCGGGCCGCGCGGGGCGCCGAAGAGATTCGCCGAGGCGGCGCCCGGGGCGGCCGGGGCCCGGATACGTTACGGATCGCCGATTGGCCCGCCGGGGCCCAGCCCGGCGCGGCGCGCCTACGCGGTGCCGTTGAGCAGCGGCTCGGCCTTGGCCTTGGCCAGCGGCGCCTGGCGCTTGGGCGGCCGCGCGCCGCGCTCGGGGCCCTCGCCCGCCGCGCCCGCCGCGCCCGCGCCCGCCACGCCGTTCTTCCACCCGCCGCCTGCAAGTCACAACGTCACTGCCCGCCCGGCCCGCCGGAGGCCGCGCGCGAGCTGGTACCTGGCCTCCGGCGGCGGCGGCGGCGGGCGCCCGAGGCCTCCCCGGCCTCCCCGGCGCCGAGGCCCTCTTCCGACGACAACGACTCTGCACAACACGCACCACGCACACGTCACGCGGACGAGCCCGGCTCCGGGGCGAATACGCGTTTGCTCTTCTCTCGCCGTCGCCGCCTACTTTCCCGGCCGGCCTAAGCGCAATCCCCGCGCGCGTGACTTTTGGCGAAACGCGCCCGCGTGCCGCGTGCCGCGTGCCGCGCACGAAATCTTACGCGATTCAGGCATTAAAGCGTACAACGGCAATTCTAGAACATTCTCATAGACATACACAGAAACACGAAGCGAGTGCACAGTAACTCCTTTTTTAAATTACTCGACGCGGTTTATTTTAAGAGCGTTATTATAACGACTTCTAGTATATTTAAAAAGGATCAAAACTAAATAAAGCATTTCACCGAAAGGGAACCGCTCTAGTAGCAAACACATATTCACCCCGCGTCTAATGTTTAAATTAATAAATAATAATAAAAAATCCTTGAAGTCTACGGCAGACGTTTTGTACTAATTAAAATGTAATAATAATAATAAACATTGCATAAATAATAAACATAAGAAACAATGATGCACAAATACACATAACAAAGATACATGACAAAACACTACTACTACATTTCAACTAGCACATTCAGTAATATTTTCAGATTCGTCACTTTTTCAATTCTAAAAGAAGAATGTCCATTCTGTTGTACCAATTTTATATTTATCTTATCGAGAATAGCTGTCCAAATAGTTATGATACTTATTAAAAGAACACGGAATAAGCACGACTTATTTACCTAAAGTTTATAATACCTCACACAGAAATGGCGAAATTATTGTATTTTAGTATTCTATTTTAATTTTAGTACAGAGTATATTTAGAACAAAAGTTTTTTATTGTAAATAAAAACACAGGTATTTTGTTTTGTTTCCCTTGTGTTTTTTAATAATTCCGAGATTTCAGAGAGGGGTACTATCTACTCTATGTGTATTTTTATTACTTGAAGTTTATTTAAATGTACTCTACCCATTCTGTTGTCTGCTTATTATTACACAACAGTATTCAGAAGGCGTAACAATTTACAAACTGACCAGAATTTTACGGGCGGAACTTTCTGAGATACGGTTCCGTAGGTACTTTAGCACCACGTTAATGTTTCGATAACTGGTGTGGTTTATACAAATTTTTACAATTTCAACCTTGTCACACACGAGTTACGGTTTTAACTGAGAGAAAAATAATTATAATAGGAGTACACATTAATTCACTTGTTACTTAAGTTTTTAACTGTACAGGGATATCGTACATCACCATCAGACCACGCGGGATCACCAATTTCGCTTTAACTCACGCGGATACATTGACTTACAAATAAATAGACGACGGGTCTAATACAAAAACCACGAAAAAAATGTCCCAAGTCAACCTATTTAAACGTAGTGACATGTAAAGGAATATGAAAAAGCTTCTTCTTCTTTTAAATGTTATGGCCCCATCGAAATAATCAATGATTTTGCCAATGTCAAGTAAAAATAACTATGTACGGTAGTTTAGTATTATTATAAAAAATTATAAAAAAAAAATGGCTATTTCGCCAATGTCCTGTGAGTTACCTAAAACGTTGAATTTAAATTGTAATGTCATCGCAGTACTGTCTAATTTTGCTTGCTTCGCTGTCAGTCGAACAAACGAAGACTAAAGCGTGAATGACGCTCTGTATACGATTTTAACGCCCTATAAGTTCGGACACTTTTTAGCGCGGACCCGACGTCAATATAATTGTAAGTCAATGCGCGGATAGCATTTATTTAAACAAATTCACAAGAGTTAAACCAAAATAACGAAATATTATTAGTTGCACAAAAATATATAGGTGAGGGGCAAAAGCCAATGTTTTCGTAAAATGGTTGTCCACTCGTTTTCTATGATGGAATCCAATAAGTAGATATAACTTCCCAAGGCTCCATGTAAATGAAAATGTCCAAACTAATATAATAAACGCGAAAATAACCTTGTTAAGTTTTCACGCCTCAATCGCTGGATCAACGTTGATTAATTTTGGTATAGAGATAAGACCTAGGAGAAGGACGTAGGCTACTTTTTGTCACAAAAATAAATCTTAAAGATACAGGGGATGAAAGTTTGTATGGAAAACCAATAAAGCTATGAAAATTTGTATAGTACTGTAGGAATTACTTATTCTACTCCCGACTAGCAATATATAAAGTGATTCAGACGCAGACAATATGGTATTGTACCGTAGGATATCTAGAGAAATACGTTTCTCATACAAAATTGAGGGTATACTTACTTGGATCTATAGCATGTAATTATACTTAAAGGCGCCTACAGATATGCTCGATTTTTTTTGACGATCGACACGCAAATGTGATGGTAGCAACAGACGGTCGACGTTGTCGATCGACAAGCGCGATCAACACAAAGTGCCTACAGATTTGCTCGATCGCACCTTTCGACCGACAAAGTCACCTAGTTTTCTCCATATGTAAAATATTGACACTAGAAAACGTCATTTTTTAAGGTATTGCTCGTTCACTACACTGATCTCCCTGAGAAGAACGAATACTTTTAATGTAAATTTTAAACTTAGAAGTCTAGGCCTTAGGAGGTTACGAGTGTGACACTAAACGATTTACTTACAAATAATAATTGTATGAAAAGTACACTATAATAAGTTAGGTAACTTATTGGGTTTTGCCTCGTATCCTCTATGACTTCATAATGAACTCAATTGGCGTGAGCGAATATCATCCCACGCTCTTCGTGGAAATCGCTTCATCTACAATAGTACTAAAAACATGACTTTACATTATGTTGAATTACACCTAGTAAATAAATTAATAACCAAGGTCAGGAACAAATACGACCGACAACTACGCACGGATCTCCTCTAACAGATAACGGGCTAACAAAATGGACATCCCAATTAAAATATAGTTGGGGACATAAACTTAAAAATCTTTGGCCACTACCCCGAACCGTACCATGAACGTGCTATGAATGTATCGGACACAAAAATAACACTACTACACCCACTATGCTGCGGTGCTGGTCGGTGATGGAACTCTCTAGCGGGCGCTGTTTCTTATTAATTTATGTGCCGGTACGTTACAGTCATAGTATGGAACGGTGTCGTGGGCAAAGCCCCTTACTAAATCTAGGGTCGGCGGACTAAAGCACACAAGTGAAAAAGTGCTTCTACACCACTAGAATTCATGTTACAAATTAATGAAGTGAATTTGACTTATGCGCCTTAGTCGCCGACCCGAAATTAGACTAGAAATTATATTTCTCAAAGAAAGTAGACTTGGGAAATTCAAACATACGCAACTTGAGCTTTGTGCAGCCAGCCGGCGAATGGGAGCTACCATTGGCACCAGAGCACGCAAGTTATTTACAGTCCCTCCAGGTCCCAGAATTGCGTACTCGAAATCAATTAACTTGTATGACAGAGAGTAAAAGGAATAACTTGAAACACACTTATCGACACAGTCATATTAAGCCGGCATGAAAGCTATGTCCATTCAATAAGAGCGAAAAATACCGCGGACTCGAACCGTTCCGACTTTTTCGCTGTTATTACATAGATATTAACGCTTTCTCTAACCGACTCAATTCGATTCAGCGTGAATAGGTGTGGTGACCCCTTCAGCCTATTTGATCGTTTCGACTGAGACTAAACAATATTTGTTTTTCGTTACATCTATTGATGGTGAACAGTACCTCTAATTCAGGCAGGCTGCACTTGTATTTGTTGTTTCCGTAATAAGGCGGAACTGAATTGCCAGATTTAGATAGGAGTGTCCGGTTGGTGACGCACAATCAACAAACATAATTGAATTATCATATCAACTTGAAAGTCAGTCTGATACAAAAGTAACAAAGGACAATGCCCAAGCTCCATACAGTCCTGGACCAGCAAAATAAAAGTTGACGATCCTCAATAGCAGACACGTTTCATTCATATTTAAACATATTTTCTAATACTGGATTTATATATTTTTTTTGCTAGGGAAAGCCGATACAAACAACATTTTCTTTTTGAGATTACGTGTTTAATATTCATGTTACTCTGTACGGTGGGGGACATAAAGGTAACAAACACTTGTACTTAGATTTTTCACTATGACAGACGAATGATACAATAAAGGTGCAATAAAGACATGATGGTTAAAAAATCCTTATAATATTATAGAATGTATACATATATAATGATTTGTTGCAATCAGCACAACTCACATTTTTAACAAAAATTTATCGGTTCTTAGGTTTTCACTAGTGTCCCGGAGTTAGCCGTGACCACGGGACCTGAAAAGGGCCCGGAATGTTGGTTTTTTCATAATAAAAAACAAACATTCGCATTTAGATCCGAAAAAATAGTTTCATTTCCGAATTTGTGTTTGCCAAATTCTCGTTGAGGAAGACATAAATCGGTGGCTCTAGAAAAAGCCAAAGTTGTCACTATCTCTAACGTTAGAACAAGTAATTAGCTACTGTTCAAGTCTATAGAGTGTCTTAATCTCTTTTTATCTTTCTTTATAGCTAATGCTCAATAGATAAGTAACAAAACAAATGTTGAAATATTCATATCTTTTTATCTCAAGCTTATCTTAAAGTTATATGAATGGAAATTATTTAACATATGACGTATTTTAATACACAATAAAAAATAGATATAAATTTTCAACCGGACGCGACTTTATTAAAATTTGCCAGTCCAAAATGGGCATGTCCTTTAAAGCGGTTACTTGAACCTTGTATCACAATGATTTCCAAGCTAGAAGGTAGGGCTCATAGTAGCTTAGTCCGAATACGACAGCTAAACCAAAGGAGAGTAATATTGGAAGTTAATGCCGCGATTTGAACAAGTACTTTCGAGATAGATTGTACAATCATTTTCCTGGCATCCAGTTAAAGTTTGGCAAATGAGTTCAACTTCACACTTATCTGTTTATGGCCAGAAATACACATCGCCAGGGACAATAACGAAGAACAAGTAAGTATTAAACAAAATCTCAACGTTCTTTTAGAAAAGAATTATTGAAAATACAAAATTTAGGCATCAACATTTCGCCACCAACTCATATACGCCACAAAGCTGATCACGGGTCTCCTTTCAAGTGGAAGTTCAGGCGATGGTCCAGCACGTGATGGAAACTTAATGAGTTTTGGGAACCTTCAGACTTCATCACACCGTCGTCCTTTAGCATTAATCAATTGATAATATTGGTAAACTACATGCACGTTGGAATGACTGTGGTGCTGGCTGCTCGTTGGTATGGAATCCAGGAACCACTTCGTATAAGAAATTTTATTTCCAAGCACGAAACTATACTAGATGTAACGTTGAACACAGCACAGCACATTGCAAATGCCACATCTGGGGTGATTTGTATCGCGTAATTTCTGTTAAATCTATCCGTAGTGTAATTTGGAATGAATTCAACTACACATGGGATTTTAACCATAAAAATAACCAGTTAATTTTAGAAAATCAAGGAATCAATGTCAGGAGCTAGTCAAAGGGTACCTTCTTTAGAGAAGACACGTGCCCACCAGTGGGACGTTTACAACAACGACGTAAACGGTATCTGGTGGCGACTAAACTACCATTGAAACGTTTTACCGTAATTTAAAAGAATAAACATCATGCTAGTCCTTTCTTCGGATTGTTAATTTGTATTGTGGAAATACGCGATATTTCTGAAAAGATTACAAGCGGTGTCAGTGTTTGGCGATGTGTATTTATAACCTACCGGATGTATTTTAGTCATGTACCAATGAAACACGAAGACTGTCAATGTCTTTATATACAGGGTGTAATCGTGAAGTGTACCCAGGTGATTATTAGTTATTGTTTATTTATTATTCCGTAAATATAAGAGATATCAAAAATCTTTAAACTGATATCGAAAGTACGTTACCTAATGAGTAAAACGACATCAAAAACGTTTTTTAATGAAACTAGAAATGGCCAAAATTTTAACGTTAAAAACTCCCATAGATTTAATATGACATTTTGTTGAGAGGCGATAGTTGACCTACTTTAACTATAAGAACTCACGGAGCGAGTTTGACCCGCGCCCGCCGTGATTGCGGGACCGCGGCCTCTGTAGAATGTACCTAGATCGACTCATCCGTAGAACAAAGATCTATGTGCAAGACTACTTGTTCTCAGGACATAGTACATTTCGTTCGTTCTTCTTCGATGTGGGTGTCAGATCGATCGTCGTTAGATTTTATATTTTCGAAACGAAATAAGATATATAAATTCTCAAAACACCTTTACATAGGCCTTAGTTTGAATAACGAAATTGTTCTCATCTCAAAGTCAAATCGGACTCTGTTCTTGGGATGAGTCGAGACATGTACGTAAAATTTAGTAGCAGATTTCACGACACGTTTTACGCAGCGTCTCCGGGGTACTAGTAGAACCGCTCTATCGATCGCAAATATCTCTATCGAGCGCGACTTGCGATCATCTCCCGCGATGTTTGCGGGCTGTTCCGCAACCGCGAGGGCTACATGACCGCACACACCTGGGATGCCGTGAATATCGAAATAAAGCGGCTGTCCCGCAGCCGCGGCGCCCACGGGTAAAAACCGCTCCGTGAGTTTTTAGCCTAAGAGGTAACAATAAGTTTACAGATAACGAAACTGCTATAAATATAAACCTATCTTTTAATTTAATAAAACCAAAATAATTTTAATTTTAAAGTAAGTAAAAAATTTTATGTTCAATCAAAGCAGTTAGTTGTTCAAAACCAAAGCCACACTATGAATGTCATATCAAATACACGGAAGCATTTAATGTTAAAATTTCGGATATTTCTTGTTTTATTTTTAAAAGTTATTGACGTCGTTTTACTCTTTAGGTAACGTACTTTCTATATCACTTCATAGATTTTTGATATCTCCTATATTTACATAATAATCGCCTGGGCACACTTAACGGTTACAAACTGTATAACTGAAATAGTATGAGAACATTTGAAGCTACCCCAAATCCGAGAAAACTGTCTCGAGTACCATTCAACAATTTTTTTTTTAGAAATTACTTTAAGTGCAAGTTTTCCGTAAATACTTTTTTTTTTCAAAATGATAATTATCACGATAGACGATAATAATATAATTATTGTTACGATAATTTTGTAATTACCATAATGTTTATCGTGATAATTATGAAATTAATTGGTAAAACACTATATGCCACCGCTAGCAAATGTCGCACAATGTGTATCCGAACGCGATTGCTACTTACGAAACGTATTTAACAAAATACAAAGAAAAAAACGAATCCACGTTTCAAAATATTGTTTTTTATAATATTACTTGTTACTCCTTTACAAAATTTTTTATGATGCTTATTTTTTATTTGCAAATAATAAATCAGTTAATAATATTAACACAATGTCAGTATTTTCATTTTAGAGACAACTAAAAATCAGCATGGGTTATTATCTGATAAGTATCATGATAATTATCATGATGCTAATTAATAATAAGTATAGTGATCATTATCTGATAATTAAAAAAATTGTTTTGTATTTTCAAATCCTGAATTCCGTTGTACCGGAGAAAAAAATATAAATGTTGTATAGGCACCATTTACAATATAATACCATTGATCTTAGTTTTATAAATATGACAAACTTTTGTTGCCTAGACTTATTTCCTTCAATGAAATGAAATTTCAATCGTGTTTATTTATAACAAAAAGTTTTTTTTTAAACTTTAAAAATTAATAAAGTAGCTAAATTATTTTAATAAAAAGAAGGCTAATGGTACCCAAAACAGTTTCCTTGTATCTGCTATGATGTTAGATTTTACCCCATACTGTTTAATTAAAAAATAGATTGCAGATTGTAATGCATAGTATTTCAAGAAATGGGTCACTGATATCATAGGGCCATTTAGTGTTAGTTAACATCTGTTCGTTCGTTTCTAAATTTTTACTGTGGCGATTAACAGCCTTTCTGTTTCATCGGTCCGCGGTTGTATCGGGACCGTGTCGAAACACTGCAAAATTGTAGATAACGAAGTAGCTCTTTGGAGACCTGGCGTACCGGCTGTCATACAGTCCAGAGAACAAAAGTCCGAATGTTTTTGGGTCATCGATCGGACGGTTTGAATTAAAACTTTTTATTTTTCGTTATTAAGTTTACTAGGAAACGAAACATTCCCGCACTTAGTCGTCCGGGCGTTTCGACAACGGACTCTGCGCTCGTCGACAGCCGACGTCAGGCCCGGAGAGGGCGACGCCGCCCCCGGGCGCGGACTGACCTCTATCGGCGCTGGACACGTCCTGGCTGTCGAGCACGGAGCTCTCGTCGTCGGTCTGCCGCCGCGGGCCGCGCTCGCGGCCCTCGCGGGGGTCGCGGGGGTCGCGCGGGTCGCGGGGGTCGCGCCGCCGCCCGCTCTGCAACAGGCG